CGGTCGGTATTTCCTCTCCTGCGGCAGGCGATTGCACTTCTGTAACCTGTGCTTTCGGTGAATATAGGTCGTTGTAAATTTTTTCGCAGACTTCTTTCATTTCCGACCATTTGATATCATTGTGGATGAATAATAACTGCGATAGAAATATCAAAAGTACCATATTCATGCCATCCGCACATTTATAATAGATCTTGGTACACAAATAACTGCTTGAAACTCTCAGATGGAACAGGGTCTGAGTTCCGAGAAATGTTACTTCTTAAATTTCAGAAAAAATCTCACTCGGAACCCCGATTGTTCTACGTAGCATGGCATTCAGTCTCTTCGTAATTCATTTTTCTATATAACATCTAGGAAACATCTAAGAATTTTTGTTCAAACTATATCAAATGCAGAAGTATTTCGAAAAGCATCGAGAAGTATGTGATAATTTGAGATGGAAACTGCATTGCTATAAAATATATGTGCATTTCGAAATAATTGTTATACCAATTATTTATCGAACCGACGCCAATCTTTCATCGAAATATATGGCTATTTGAATGGGGTCTCTCTCCTTTTTGCTGACAGGTATTAGCAAGCACCAATTTGAGCACATGCATTCATACTCAAACATAACATTTGTGCTTCTCGCTTCTAATAACTTTTTGTTTTGATTGTCATCATGTTTTTCGATTCCATTTGCTTGGTTTATAGACGACGTTCATTAATTTTTACTTGTTAATAATTTATTGGCCCATGTGTCAATGTCTGTGTGCTTGCAGTTACTTGTTTATCATTCCTTTTTCAGTGAATTGTTAATTGACGGGTACAATTTGAGGAGTTTGATAAAGTTTTGAAAAATCCACTTTGAGATGAAACAAAAAAATGTGTGGTAATCTCCTTCGATGCAATGCAAATGTTTTTTTCCTAAAAATCCATCTTGCATTCATTTCCATTCATTCATGTTGCTGAAAAAGGTATTATTTAAATGGCTCAAATTCAAATGTTTATTTGACTTCAGTAGGTTCGTATTGGTAGAATCACTAAAAAGCATTAAATGTAATATTAAAATCCTTTCGTCGTCTTACTCTAACCATGATGAATAATTGCCTTGTGAAGTTGTTCTAGCAGGTAATCTTTCATAATTTAATGTTCACTCGTGCACAGAGTTGTAGCCCGTCTAAATAAGTCTAAACTTTCTGGTTATTTTTTAACCCTTGCACGACTGAAAGTTTTTAATAGCATCAGAGAAGAAGCGAGCTTCTCAGAGCTGAATCTATCCATTTCACTATGTACTCATAATACGGGATGTTTTAATGAAATTGCTGATATTTGTGAATGTTACTATACATCTAAGAATGAAAATAAACGAAAACATCATTCAGTCATCAATTTCTTGCACCGCAGTGTAGCAAAACGAGTGGTATTTTCGCAATGAAGTACTCGCAAGATCTGTATGAATTTTCAGTTGTTGTTACGCGAATTTTGCTTCGCGTTCGTTGTGTAGGTATATCTGCTAGAGCAGGGTTTCTCAACCGGTGTGCACGTACCCTCTTTGGATGCGGGATGGTATGCCAGGGGGTACAAGAGAGGATGGGATGAGAAGGGGTGCAATGAGAAGGGATGAGTGAGGAGTGCGGGAGGAAGTGTGAGATAAAGTTTTAGTGTGAAGTAGGCGAGGATGGACTTCAACGTATATATTTTTGAAAAGCTAGAACATACTCTAAAGGTATGCACTCATCTCAGTCACTGTGGTGGATGAGAGATACAAAGTGGGTGTTGTGAGGAGTGCGAAGATATTTTAGGTATTGTTGTAGGGGATGCGGGAACAACTTAAAATTTTGTAGGATGTGTGAAGGAGAAGAATGCTTGAGAAGCATTGTGCTAGAGTGTCGTCAAGTGATGAAACTAGTGAATCGTTATTCAAAAAAGCAATGGAGGTGATCCTAGAGTTGGATCGTTGGCCACCGACAAGGTGTTCGATCAGGGAGCACCAAAAAAAATCTTACGATTCCCGACACTAGGTAATATTGATGAGGGTAATGGCTATATTTCGTGAGACGATGTAGATGAGTTGGATCAACTTCTAGTTGATGCGGATGAACATATCACAGCTTGCGAGTTATTTGAAAACACGGTTCAAGATGTGCCTAATGCCAGTTCTACTAATTCGTGCACTTGGACATCAAAAATAATGCAGAAAGTGGTTCGCGCATTGCATCATGTGGTCGGAAGGGGACACATACTGTGGTCAAGGAAAAGAAGTGGCCAGCCACGTTTTACAGTTCGCAGTGTTGACACCATTGGATCGGTTTTTTATTATTGTTCCGACAGAATATTCTTGAAGAGCATTCAGAATGGTCAAGTAAAGAAAGCATTACTGCATTGCTGTGCTCTCATGCGATGACGTGTTTATATCGGTCGTTTATTCATTACCTTATTGAATGCTATTTTTAAGCTTTTGAAAGCAACACTTGAGTGATTTATCGCATTGGCGAATATATGCTCTGCTTTGCTTCCTTATCGAATTTACTTGAGTATTATAATCATGAAAGGTGATACGACTGACGATGCGACACAGCGATTCATTTTATAAGAAGCTATATGAAAGGAAGAAAGAGGAGTGCGAAGAAGAAAGAAGACGTCGTATAATCGCTGAGAATTATCTCCGTCGTCTGAAAGCCAACGAAAGTCGAAATCAACCGTAAATATTATAAGTCATTTCCTAATACATAGAATTTTTGGCGAGGATAAAATTCTCGTGATGTTATGAGAAATTTTAGGAGAGTTCATATCACTCAATGGACAGTGATGGTAACCGAACGAAATTTGGATTCATCGCAATCCGATCAAATCGACTTTTTAAGATTCCGAAATTCGGTATTCTTACCGTACCCCGATATCATTAGATTTCGAATTCTAGCCGTATTTCATCGAATTTTACTAATGTTTCCAAAATCCCGACTTTTTTCAATCCCGGGATCGGGATTTGATCCTGGGATTGAGCAACTCTTGAAATATAAAAGCATGACATGTTCAAAGACATTCTTTTTGATGCAATATGTCATCAATCAGAAAAGAGTTTATTCAACACATGCAACAAAACATTCAACAAATTATTCAAATTCGAATTAGCAATTGCAACAATTATTATTCAAGATATTCAAAATTATTATTATTATCAGTTCTTCAACAATTATTGCTCAACAGTGACGAATAGTATTGTGATAAGAATATGATAAGAACGTGGTAAAAATATTATTTACTGGAGTTTGAAAAAAGCTTCGAGAAACGTGACAACGTTGATAGTTGCATCACTCACTCGCATTCTCAGTTTTGTACAAAAAAAAGGAAAACCTAGAAAGAGCTCGCTCACTTTCGACACTCATCGATGGAATCGTTTCAATCGACTCGGCCAATTTTTTCATATTCGATGTCATTTCCTTTGCCTCTTCGTACAAATGCATTTCATAGATTACTCTGCTTTTCACGTCATTGCTTATTTCACAGTTTATAGAATTTTCGGAATTCAGTATCAGTTCTGTTTTTTTTTTTGAGAGAGAGAAATATCATCTTCATTCGTATTCTGAAAGGAATCAGTTGCTATCGATGGACGCAGAAAATCCTAGATATTACCGACCGAACATCAGTAGGTTATCATCACTATAAATAGGGGAGGCTGGCTTGCATTTTATCAATATGATTCACTGCCCAAAAGGGCTTTCGAATAGGGTCCATCTCTCTTGGAAACGTTTGCGTTCAAGAACGGTCAAATTTCAGCCATTCTTACCTAGAATGTTCTTCCCGTTTTGGATGTACTACAATGTTCAGATTTGAAAACGTGAAAAAGATTTCAGTGCGATCGAACACACTTCACGACGGTGCAACGATGCAGTTGACGATCGGGCGAATGAAGTGAACACGACAGCAAACAAGGTATTATGCATCCACTGACGTAAATAAAAATTTTTTGATGACTGGAGCGTTTGAGAATTATTTGTTAAATGGAATATGAAATCAATACAATCAGATAGACGCTCATAAATTTCATCAGTTCACCTACTTATCAGCTATCATTCAATTAAGAAGATGTGCACGCTAAACGCAATCAATTAATCTTTGAATTGTAAAACTTAATGTCCTCAACTTCAACTAATTTTTGGTTCACGATGGATTGTTGAAATTGCTAATCAGTACTTCCGGATTTGTGAGAATTGATTCAGCTACGGCTGCGCGCTTTTGAAATTTTCGGTTCCAGCTCCACCTTCGGCTTCGCGCTCTTCAAATCTCGGTTCCGACTACCGAGCAATCTAGATCCAGCCGGTTTCAGCCCCGGCTGCTAAATATCGCTGTGATGTTTTTTTTTTGAGGGAGTCAAGAAAAGAATCTTTTTTGGCTGCAGAAGTTAGGCGTAACTGGTCAAAACTAAAGACGATAGCGTTCCAGATATTTATTGATGTCACTATTTCAAATCTCCTGTTCTATTTTGGCAGAACCGAAAAGGAATATAGCAGTTCATTCAGGCATTGTAATGAATATTTTGAAATAAGTTTGAGGTTTTCCTCACCGTGAAGCAATTTAAAATCGACCTGAAATGTAGAAAGTTTAAAATGGATGAGTCAAAGATTGATACTCGAACTGAACTGTATGAAGGTTGCGAGATTAAATTGAAAATTATTGAACGTTCAATTTTAATTTTGATTGAAATGTCAACATTTTCAATTATATCTGCAGAATCTCTTCTCAAAACTGCTTCTTCATACTTGATCTCTACTTGTTTTATTCAATAAGATTCATCTACTAAGCGTGAATAGTTGTGCTTGACGAATATTCTTTTTATTGCTTTTCGATGATAACTGTTTAAGTTCATATTTTCTTTTGCAATTAGAAAATAAAGTTCCAAATTCTAAACGAATTTTTATTCCAGATAATTAAATTATTTCACGTCATCAAGGAATTTCTGATCGGTTTTCGATCTAATCTTGGCATTATGCGTGGAAGTAATAAATTTGTGTAGTGGGTGGGGGAATAATGATGCCTTACCAGATCATAAAGGGGATAATAGAGCTTCCGAGCGTGAGAAACACTGCTCTACATAAACAATAATAAGTTCGTTCAGCTGTTACCGACATCAACAACGGCAATGCCTCATATCAATTATTCTCTACCAAATAGTTTGTCGTACTTTGTTCGATTCGATGGACGCCCACTGTATCGTTCTCTTCCAACACTTCAGGTGAAGCCATTTCTATGTGGCTATGAATTCTCCACCTTTGGCTATATAAAATGCTCTAAAACTTCTCTATTCCAATAAGTTTGCATCCATTTATCCATCCATCCGAGTAATCCTTCTAAACGAATAAAACTCACAGAATTCACTGCGCGCGCACAAGCCAACGTTTATCTATCGCAGTGAGCGAAGGCAGAACGATATTGAAGAAGCGTCCGAATGTCGTCAACAAATCGCACAACTGAAACGTTTAACCGCAAAAAAAGTTATTACCAACGAAACCGAAGCAAACACTGCGTTTCCAATTCTTCAAAAAACCACTTCAAATATTCACGCTCATTTCGCTTCGCTAAATACCATAAAGAATGATACAAAAAGGTTTATTTTTGTTTGCTGAATTTTTGGTTGAAATTATTTGTAATCATTAAGTTATGGTGATTGTATTCCTAAGTGTTGTTCTATAGACGTCTTCAAATAATGAGCGATCCACTCGTGGAACAAGCAACAAGGAATACAACGCGTAACGAAAACGAAGATGAAATTGACCGCCGTGCAAACCGACTACTCGCGTTTTGCTATAATAAAGTAATGACAAATTCTTTAATCTCCCCCTTTTTGGATTTGATTTTTAAGTGAGGACCTGACAGTGGAATATTTGATTGCATGCGATGGCTTTCTTTTTGGATTACGAAATCGATTCAGTGAGTAAAATCAAATTTTATGACTAGATTATATGTTGCGTTGATTGAAAATATTTTTAAGTGAATGTTTTTGAAAGGTATTATTACGCAAATTTGGAATTTGTTCGAAATTGGTGTATTGATTTTATTTGATGTATTTGGAGTTGCTTATTCTAAGGAAGAATATGCAACTGCAAAATGTGAAAAAGGGTACAAAACGGCTGATTAATGTATCGAGATGGGTTGCTTTTTTGTTCAGTCATATTTTAAAGTAAGTATATTTTAAAGAGAGCATGTGCTCACCGATCAGAATACAATTATAAGTAAGCACTGAGATGTGCATTTCGAATGATAGAAATATGCTCATACCAACAAAAATAATATGAACAAAAGTAGTAACAATGAACGATGCCTTGAATGGCCTCTATAATGCGTAAAAAGAAACGATTGTGGACGTCGTTTGAGATATCCATTGTCATCAGCACTATTGTTGTTATTATCATTGTTGTTACTATTATTAATATCATTGGCATCTTCTAATTCCTGAAGACATTTAAAGAAGTTTACGCATGCATTAATTAATGACGGTGTTTTTATGCGTAGGTTTTGGTATGAATCTGCTGAGTTGTAACATCAGTTAAAATGTTACATTTCAGAAAATGCAAACAGACTTCAAGAATCGTGTCAAGCAGCAGTGAGTGAATGATGCCATTAGCGTAAATGCACTCCATATGTAAACCTTTCTTTGCGTGCTTCTTAATGTACATTTTGAGGTGAATTTTGATGTAGCGTATCTTAATTTTTGATGTATTTTGAATATTTTCCAACACCCCACTACTTGATTCTCAGGTTTTGCTCCAATTTTTCTCGAGAAGATACTATGATCGTTCCATTGATTTGCTGATAGAACAAAGTCACTTGCCATACACCCTTCTCCATTTACTCTTTCATTTCTTTTTTTTTCCATTTTGCAGATAATGAACAAAATGAATTATCGCTTTTCAAGATGTTTTAAATTGTGCGATTGCATGATTAAGTTCAAGTTTTCAATCAGAAATGTATCTCTCGCCGTTACTACTGTCCTGGTTCACTTGCATCAGCCCAATCAATTTCACCAAACCAGACCCGATCGCACCCCTATTAAATCAAAACTCTATCGTAATTCATTTCTGTTACGCTCATCACCATTTCGCTCCTTATTTCAACATCATTATTATATGACCATTATTTCTATTAGAGTGATTACTGACCCGTTCATTGACGCAAATTGTCCTAACAATTTCATTCAGATATAATTTGTTTCATTATTGTTATCTCTATAACGCTAAACCAACTACCGAGCTAGTATAAACCAAATATTCTACAAGATGATGAGATTTTGTGGATGATTTAGGCATACTATTATGTGACACGTTTATTGTGCAGAGTGCAACGAAATTTAGTGGCGATTGTGGAATGCGATCGGTTTTATAATATGATCGGCTGTTGAATGAAGGTGTATAAACAAGCTAAGAATACTTTTTAAAACACCAAATCAATAGAATTTATAATCTGTTTTCAACGCATTAATCATTTAATTAACTCATTCGAAGGGATTAGCAACAACATTCACAGCATCATGTCACAGACAATTAAAAGAAAAAATTTGAACACAGAAAAGATTTTTGGCATTTGGCCAGCAGTTTATCAAACCATCACAATATCCCTCCCTGGCTTAAGCGAAAAACAATGTCGCCAGTAAAAAAACTATTGAAAAACCCACTTTACTTCTCATTTCAGGCTGGTCTTTATACCCTACAATTAATAAATAATAAAACTGCAACAATTAAATTAAGAACAACAACAATAATAGTAACCATAATGACAATAATGATAATAATTATAAATAAAAACACGACGGAACCCACGATGCCAACAGACACACACAAACGTTACCGTTAATCAAACAACCGAACCGAAACAGTAATGACTTATTTTTGAAACAAGTTGTGAAAGTACATGAACGGAGAAGGGTTTCAATCAATCGAACTGTTAACCAAAAAATGAATGAAACCTAAAACTCCGGCACGAACAGCATTTAACGCAGATAGATTTTGCGCAAAAATAAACAGAGACCACGAAACGCTGAGATGAATCAGAACTGAAACAAATATTGGTCTAATCGGCATTGAACACGACAAATAAAACGAGAAGAGACCGACTGATTTATCTGATGATTGAATCTGCTTGCTTTTAGATGCACACTTAAATATGCTCTCAGAAGAACATTCCCGCAACACCGCCCATCTCCTGCTGCTCTTTAACAAATATTTCGAAATACTGATAAATTATCGTCACTGCCAATAGAATACCTGTTCCGCTGCCAATTGCACCTGAATTTCTATCCTTTTACTAACGCCATCTTTTTGCGTCGATACATATTTATGAACAGCATTTACTGACTTGCTTTCTATTTTTACATATACTGAAAACGAAATGAAGTGCATCTCATTAGCGAATACTTTCTATATACTCATAAGGCCAGCAATATGAAATATAGGTGGATAATCAAAAAATAGACGAAATGAGAAATTTTTTTGTAGAAGTGAATCGAGTATACCCATGAAATCGGCCGTGACTGAAAGTGCACCAATGCAAAGACCGCCGAATGCAGCTGCTGTTGGTATGTAACGGTTCAGTTCGTGGATCATCGACTTCTCGCGATGACCGCGCATTACCATCTGTTGTTCTTTCAATTGTTTTGCCACCTAAACATATCAGTATTCACTTAGTGAGAATGAAAGCATTGTAAGTGATGTATGGTTGGATAATATATGAAGAAGACATACATCTTTTGCACTACTTCCGGATACATCAATCCAAGTCTTTGAGAAGAACGCACACGATCCCAGCATAAAAACAATGTAAATAATACAGTGTATGGGATCTTCCATCACATGCGCCAACGTTTCTGGAGGAGATAAAAAGTAGCAAATTCCTCCTGTTGGATAGCTACGATAACCTCCAGCATCCGACCATGTGCCCAACAGGTTCACCAATATATTACCACCAAACTTTGCGGCCAACATCTACAAGGCATTTCATTGAAACCGATCATTTACATAAGAGTTAATCGATTTCATCAACAAAAATTAAACGCTCATCTGTGAGCGCTCGGTCTCATAGAGCAATCTGGTACAAAGATCATAAAAGGTACGTGAACATTTAAACACCTTTCACAACTGATTATTCAACCGCAAATCAGTTGCTGCACTTCTTAATGAATTTATTATATTTCATATCCTACATAAACAACAACAATTCCATGAAAACCAGCAAATTTACTTTCTCAAATCTGTTTGAGCGATTCAAAGTTTGCACCGCACTCTAACTTCCTTCACGTCTTTGTCTCTCTCTTAACGCTTTTCGCATTCCTTTTATCACTTTAAGAACGGCTTGAAAAGTATCTTAACTATGGAGTTTGCAATCCTCCAAAACAAAAATCTTTTTATGTATTAATGAGCATTACGAACTCTTCAGGATACATAAACTATCAAGTGCATTTTGATGAGTCGTATCTAAAACAGTCTTAAACTGAGAAATATTCGAGAGGCATACTCAGCCATTCAATCAAGCATGTTCTTTTTTTTGCAACGAAAATGTCACCTTGTCGAGAATGGAACGAACTTTGCCACTGATAAAAAGGATAAGGACGAAAGTACAATCGATCAAAACCACAAAATCGAAACTGAGCATGCATACATTCATTACTACCCAACCCAAATAAATTACTGGATATCACCTGAGAGATGACGTAGAGATTGGAGACAAGAGCTGATTGCAGAATGATAGGAATGTTTGATGTGTAGAAGAGTTTGATCGGATACGAACTGTACTGACCACGATAACGAGCACTCTTGATCGGCAAATCCACACGGAAGCCCTGACAAAAGTAAAAACAATGAAACTCCTTATGTGTTACTCACATACGTAATCCACAATCATAGACTGATTGCAATGATCTGTTTTACTTCGCAGGATAGATCAACAAAACTCAATGTACATCTAAAACAGAACATTTCGCAAAAATTAAACTTGATATAAAAACCTGGAAGTAGATAACAACAGCGAAAACAAGGACAGTGGCCATCAAATTCATGAGGTTGGGCAGATTGGGTCGATAGAACGCTTCACGGAGAGCGCGTATTTTATCGTTGCGTGTAGCCAACAGATGGAATAAGGC